TACTTCCTCTCCTCCTTCTTTTTCTCCTCCTCCCCCACTACTGCTTCGTCTTCTCCATTTCTTCCTCTCCTCCTCCTCCTCCTCCTCCTCCTCTGCTACTACTTCCTCTCCTCCTTCTTTTTCTCCTCCTCCCCCACTACTGCTTCGTCTTCTCCATTTCTTCCTCTCCTCCTCCTCCTCCTCCTCCTCCTCTGCTACTACTTCCTCTCCTCCTTCTTTTTCTCCTCCTCCCCTACTACTGCTTCCTCTCCTTCTCCTTTTCTTCCTCTCTTCCTCCTCCTCCTCCTCCTCCTCTGCTACTACTTCCTCTCCTCCTTCTTTTTCTCCTCCTCCCCTACTACTGCTTCCTCTCCTTCTCCTTTTCTTCCTCTCTTCCTCCTCCTCCTCCTCCTCCTCTGCTACTACTTCCTCTCCTCCTTCTTTTTCTCCTCCTCCCCCACTACTGCTTCGTCTTCTCCATTTCTTCCTCTCCTCCTCCTCCTCCTCCTCCTCCTCCTCCTCTGCTACTACTTCCTCTCCTCCTTCTTTTCTCCTCCTCCCCTACTACTGCTTCCTCTCCTTCTCCTTTTCTTCCTCTCTTCCTCCTCCTCCTCCTCCTCTGCTACTGCTTCCTCTCCTCCTTTTTCTCCTCCTCCCCCACTACTGCTTCATCTCCTTCTCCATTTCCTCCTCCTCCTCCTCCTCCTCCTCCCTTGAGGCTGGGATCAAAGCAAGAGTTTTGCACCCCCAGCGCAGTTCTGGCGAGGGGCTCGGGAACCGTCCGCTCTGCCGGCCTCTCCCTCCCTCGCGCCCGGCTGCCCTGCCAGTGAATGCGTGATGTTTTTGCCCTGCTCTCTTTGTTCCAGCTGATGCAGCAACAGGCCGCCATTATGGCCTCCGTGGCGCAAGGCGGATACCTAAACCCCATGGCGGCCTTCGCAGCAGCCCAGATGCAACAGATGGCCGCCCTCAACATGAACGGGCTGGCGGCCACCCCCATGACGCCCACCTCAGGTAAGCACCCGAAAGGGAAACCGAGGCAGCACTGACGCGGCCGAGGAAGCCGCTGCAGTGCAGGCGGTCCTCGACTTACGACGGTTCGTTTAATGACCGGTCAAAGTTTTGCCGGCACTGGGAAAAAAACCCACTTAGGACAGGTTCCTCACACTTACGACCGTTGCAACGTCCCCATGGTCATGGGATCAAAATTCAGATGCTGGGCAACCGACTCACATTTACGACGGTCTCAACGTCCCCGGATTCACACGATCCCCTTTTGCAGCCTCCTGACAAGCAAAGTCAGTGGGGAAGCCAGATTCGCTTAACGACCGTGTTGCTAATTTAACAATGGCGGTGATTCACTTACAATTGGGGGCAAAATTAACTTAACAACGGTCTCTCTTAGCGATGGAATTTTTGGACTCAGTCGTGATCATAAATCGAGGACTTCCTATACATTCTCAACTGAGTGTATAGGAAGTGCTCGACTTACGACCACAAGGAACATAATAGATGGATGGGGCAAAACTCACTTAACAACGGTCTTGCTTAGCAATGGAATTTTTGGGCTCAATCGTGGTCATAAGTCAAGGACGTCCTGTATGCTCTCAAACCAAGGGACGCAATTGATTTGACGCTCTGCCTTTCCTCTCCCGCCCTCTAGGTGGCAGCACGCCTCCAGGCATCACTGCACCAGCCGTGCCTAGCATCCCCTCCCCCATCGGGGTGAATGGTTTCACTGGTCTCCCGCCACAAGCCAACGGGCAGCCTGCAGCAGAAGCCGTCTTTGCCAACGGCATCCATCCTTACCCAGGTAGGACAGAATTTTGACCTTGGAACCTCTGGCTTCGACATCCGACCCAATATTTTTGCTATCTGGGGAATTCTGGGTGTTGTAGTCCAGCATCTTTGAAGAGGCAACCCTACTCAAAGACCAAGGAAACCTCATAAAATAGCTCCATTACTTGGCTTCACAAAAAAAAAACCCCTCCTTTTTATGGCTCTGTAATCCTTTAACTCGGCGTAGAGTCAGAGCAACTATGGAGCTGAGCATTTACTGGCTGGATGCCCTTCCTGTTGCCTACACGGGGTTCACAGCAGATGCTTTCTTTCCATGCCCTAAGAGAGAAACATTTTCTGCTTTTAGGGCCCCGTAATCCCTTAACTTGGGGTACAGTAAAGACGACTAAATGGAGCAGAGCATTTATTGGCCTGGATGCCCTTCCTGACACCTACACGGGGTTCACAGCAGATGCTTCCTTTTTATGCCCTAAGAGAGAAACATTTGCTGCTACCTAGGATTGAACTCTCGACCTTCCAAGTGGGAAGCGAGTGTCTTCACCACTAGGCCACCAATGCCACTCGCTCCTTGGCTTCATGATTAGCAGATTAATCACCACAGCTCTTGTTTATATTTACATGGATTTATTACATGGATGTTTTTATTGTTTAAATGTCTTTTTAAATTATTTAAAAATGTTAGATTTGTAATCCACCTAGAGTCACTTGGTTGAGCTGGACAGTCATAGGAAATGAACGGATGGATGGATGGATGGATGGATGGATGGATGGATGGATGGATGGATGGATGGATG